TCTTTAAGTGAAAAACAATTTCCTTGTAATGTATTTTGTTGAAATATGTGTTCCCTATTTTAATCTGACTCCATTAGGGACCACTCTGAAACTAGCATGGTTACATACTCATATAACATAGCTTCAGATTTTTATTGACCAAAATTAATATCAGTCATTTTTGATATTCTCATTTAAAGTAAAGCTTTTGAGGTTTCAAAAAAATTTTGTAGACACTGGAATAAGTGATAATTGGAAGATGGCAGATCAGTAAAATATGATGTGAGTCGTATACATCATAAACTGTAAAAGCGAATTACTAAACTTCAACAATATCCCGCATTATTTTTAAGGAAACTATACATTTTTTATAGATTAATGATTCCTTTTTTATAAACTTTCATATTTCACTTTTTCATAGATAACACACTTTTTCACCTCAGCAATGATTTGGTTCAAAAATATGTAATTTTTTGGAGATAAGTCACAGATGTCCATGCGGCGGAGCAATTTTTTCTATGTAAAACCATCTTGAACCCATATGTTAACATTTCAAATTAAACAACTTCAACTTGCTGCAATAAAGTTTTATGTCTTCTTCATTTTAAAACAATATCTTTCACTAACAAGTCTTGTTATATATCGGGAGTTTTTTTTAGCTGCATCAAAACTATCGATATCGATAAATATTGTTTGACTCCTAAGAATGTTAAACTGTGTTGTTCATTCTGTTTAGTGGGGTTTGACAATTTATCATAAATCTGGTCCCCTCGTTCGTGCGTTTTAACGCTTCTCGATTACTTTTGATGGGGTTACGTTAAGTCATTGGTTCATGCCGATAGCCTACAAATTTGCAGTTCTTGAAGCATTGGAAGCTAATGTGCATGCCACCATTGACGCTATACAATCACAGTTATTGCAAAAAATAGTTAAAAATTTGACTGATGGAATAAACCATTTAACTCGAAGCCGCGTTGGACATACGCCGGGAATCGTATTCAAAAAATAAATGCCGTCAAATTTTATGCCAGATTATAATAATAAAAATTTCATTCCAACAATATTTCTATCTATTATTATTGTTTTATTGTTTAATGACAACATGGCTTAAATGTGAATTTAAGTGAGTAAAAATGCATTTCACTTCTTTGTTGGATAGAAACGAAATTTTTATCTTATCAACTTAATGATACTGCAGTTTTAGTCTTACATCTTGGGGCTTAATATCTTCTTATTTTCTGTTAAAAAAGATTTTAATACGTGTTTGATTTGCATATCCATATCCGTTCTAAACACAAAAATATCTTAGTGGTCCTTGGTTGAAAAACGGTTGGGAACTACTGATATAGAGATATTTTTCTTTTAAAGAGCTTACAAATAAAAAGTTAACAGAAAACATGTTTAATTTCTTTTTCAGATTAGTCTCTTTGGATGTAGAATAAACTTATAAAAGTTGTCATTATATTATAAAAGGTATATTATCCATTAATTTAAGTCAAAAAAAAAGAAAATGAAAATTTTATTCACCAAACTCTTTTCAGTAAAAAACAGCAGGAACAAAATCAAAAAATACTCTTGAACTTCGAATTTGACATCCTTTTCACGCAGACAAAGTACAAAAATTGAAATCTGCTTAATTTAAGTGATATTCGCGATTTAGTCAGTCACTATAATTTTATTTTGAATGCCATGACTTATTTTTAGTCAATTGTTTGCAGAATTTTCCGTATGACTTTTTAGAATATCATCTGTTCTTCTTTCAGTATGCCATGACAAACGCAGACCATTACCTTGAGACTGACATAAAATCTAGGATTTCTTCATTGTAAGAGTTTTATATAATTTTTTTAATCTGGGTTATAATCTAAAACACAACAGGCACTGCTTTTTAATATCAATTTTAGTCTTTTATTTCAATGATTATGACTACGAATTAATTTCAAAAAGCTTTTCTGATTTGTCAATGGCTTAGTAAGAAATCATACAAAGGAAAGATTTCATATTCTTTTTTGTAGACTAGAAAACTATATATAATAATTATACAGACCAGTAACAACACACATTTCTGAATACCTGGTTCGGAGAGATTTAATGTTAACAAGATAAATGATAGCAAGTCAGAGAGGATGCCTTAACTATGTTATGGTACTTTGAACCTTTCAACGATAAATCTATTTCTTAGGCTTTAATACTTTTCGTATTTGAGAATTTCGATTGTATATTATTTGCAAAGACATTGGCGAGATGCAATATTGTAAATCTCATTCGAGTCTCATTGAGTTAGCTATGAGATTTTAATTTTCAATTTCTTAGTATTTTTTAAGTATCACTCACGCATTCACCGCTGTTATCTGTTTAGATATTAAGTCAACGGTGAGCATGGAAATCTATAAAAACAGCAAAACAGTATTATCACCAATAAATATAAATCCATATCTCTGTAGTTAAACTCTGCATCACAAAAACTAGAAGTCAATGAAGTAGTACAATGTTTTTGTAAAGTATTAGTGCTTGCGGATAAGCATTGCTATGCCTGTTTTAGAAGGCATTTCTAGAACAAATATACAGAATTTATTATGCCATCTATTGGTTGTGATGTGTGCTTGTTTAGTTGGTTACTTATGTCTCGCTTTTATTTCAAATTTTCAAACAAACTGAACCGACTATTGGTTCAAGTGGTTCAAATTAAAAATAAGTAAAATTTAAAATATTATTATTTTAAATCAAAGAAACATAAATAATCAAAATTTGTTATTTTTTATTATATAAAAATTATTTTTAACAAAAATTACAATATACGTATTTTGTACAACTTTCCAACTCTACGGACTGGGGATTATTGAAATGACTTTTTTTTATTATATGGTAGTCTTTTAAATAATTTCATGGCATTTATTTTTTGAATTTGATTTCCGGTTACGAATATGTCCGTCGCGGCTACGAGTTATATGGTCTATTCGATCAATCCAATTTTGACTATTTTATGCAATAAATGTGGACGTATGGCATGAACATCGCCACATTAGCTTCCAATGCTTCAAAAGTTGCTGATTTGTCGGTTGTCGGCATAAACTAATGACTTGACATAGCCCCATAAAAAGTAATCACAAGGAGTTAAATCGCACGAACCTGACCATTTCTGGAAATAAAGTTGTTACCAAGATGATTTCGCAATAAATCGATTGTTAAGCTGTAAGTATGGTTGCGTCATCTTCTTGGAACAAAATGTCTGATTTGGCGATGTTTAACTGATTAATGTTAGAAAATTGCTGAATAAAATTGAGTTAACATTACTCGATAGCGGTCGCCATTTATCGTAACAGTAGTTCCTTCCTCATTTCGAAATAAATAACTACCAATGATGCTGGCAGCGTATAAACCGTACCAAACAGACAATTTTAATGAATGTAATGGTGATTCGATAAAAACTTGAGGATTATCTTCGCTCCATGTACGGCAATTTTGTTTATTGACGTAGCCATTTAATTAGAAAAGGGGTTCATCACTAAACACTATTCTTCGATATGAACATCGCAAACAGATTTGTTTTTTTCAAAGTAAATTGCCATAATTTGAAAGAGTTGTCAAATCTTATTTATTATTGTTAGGGGATTTGGCTCTGCTACTATCGGGTCTATTGTACTCCCTTCTTTAAAGTAGGTCTTTAAGCACTATCAAACCTTACTGAACGGAAATGTTCAGCTGTCAAATTATAGTTACGGATATCGATAGCTCTTATACAGATAAAAAAAAACACCAGATGTAAATATTCGTTCCAATCAATATATACAATAGTTTCTCTGCGGGTAATAATAAAATAATTTTTTTAAAAAAGTATGTATCCTTGATTATCTACTTCTGCATATATATTGCTGATTTTTTACTCTTTTAAATCAATAAGATAATTTATTCTATATCATTGATAGGTTATTATTGATTTGATAGACAATAGAGTGATTTCAAACTTTTAAATCGTTGGTTGTATTGTCTTCTCTTCTAGATATTTCTATTGTTATACGGAAATATCTTGAAGAGATATTATTAATTACTTATTGAAATTGTTTGTTATTATTTATTAGACGTGTTTTAATCAAATATATTCCAGTTTCTAATTTCTCTTTCTTTATTTTAATCACAAAGCTTAGTGCAAAAATGGCGGCAACTAATTAGTAAATATCTAAGAGGGAATAAAATTTCAAAATTTCTATTAATACAATTTTTTGCTATTTTGTTAAGCTGTCCAAAGGGCCAATTTACCGATAAGTCAATAAACTTTTTGTTAACCTTGAACTTCATTTCTTACATTTTCTTCAACGCAGAAGACTCTGCGCTGCTAAGACAGTCATCAACTCGAGTTACAGTTTTGTGTGGTCAGTAACCAATCCAATAAAATCAGCCAAATGCACTTAAGGAGGGGCAGCGCGAAAGGGAAATCTTCAAGTTATAAAAATGCCAGAAGAAACAGCAAACGCAGTTTAGACAGACCGGCCAAGAGAACTGACCACTTCAACATGGAGTTTTTAGACCACAAGCGAAATTGAATAATAAGTTTGCATTGCTTTTGCAATGATCTGACTTTTGATTTTGATTTTGCTTTGATTTTAGATTTTTGGTTTGTGGTTTTGATTTTGATTTTATTTTTAAAAATTTTGTTTTGCTTCTTACTTGTTTGCTTTTGTTTTTCAGTTAGTTGAAGTTTAGCTTAATGCGAGCACAGCTGAAGCCGCTCAGCTGTTGGCACGAGATTTCTTATTTCATTTATTTTATTTATTTTCAAATAAGTTCTTGTTTTTGATTTTGTATTTGCGTTTTTTGTTTTTAACTCAGTGCGACTTCAATTTAAGTTTCATTCATAAGTGAGCAACGCTTGCGAACGGACGAACATTTCAATCCAAACGTCTTGAGAATTAATGAGAAATACATAAACAAAAATATTAAAAAATAAATAATTTAAGTAAAAGTATTAAAGAAGAAATTAACAAAATTAAGTGTGCTTAAAAAAATATAATATATATGTATATATACTACAAAAATATTTAGGAAGAAATTAAAAAAAAAATACTGAGTGATTTTTAAACGCGTTAAGACGAGAACAAATGCGTATATATAACAATTAAAAATAATTTGTAAAATGTCCTTTTTAATTAAATAGCAAAAAATCGTTAAAAATTCAGTTCTTTAGCAAATATCGGAAAAAAAAATTTCCAAGTGGTTAAAAAAAATAATTTCTTAAGATAAGCAATTTAATAAAACTGCAAATAAAAATAAAATCTCTGTGAAGATGAAAGATCTAAACAAATTCTTTAATCGACATTATAGTGCAGTAAATTCGGAAGATGAGCAGCAAGTAACGGGACAAACGAGTCCAGCGATACTGCTGCAGCGTTCCAATTTTGCAGATAATCAACGTCGTAAGAGTTTGAATCCAAATCGTTCGTTACTTTCAACTCCTGCGGGCATTTTAAGCTCCTTTTTCAATGAAAGAGAAAACAATAAACGCGCACGTTCACCAAAATGTAAGTATTAATTAAAAATTGCGATTTTTTAAAGTTTTATCCCTTTATACAAAAAAAACGGCATTTTTAAAATAATGCAATTTTTAAAAAAAAAAAAAAATTTATAAAAAAAAGTCAAAAGATGCCATTTTTAAAACAAAAAAAAAATTTTTATTAAAAAGAAAACGCTAATTGGTCAATTTTTAATTATTGTTATAAATAGAAATTAAAAACAAAAAACTTAAATTAATTTATATTAAAGTCTGAAGTCGAAACGTCGAAAGTTAAACAAAAATTATTATAAAATAATTGCTTTTTTTATTTATGACAACAATTAAAAATTGACCAAAAAATAATAAATATTTAAAAAGAAAAAGAAAAATTTTTGAGGCTTTATAAAAATATAAATTTTGTATTATATACATTATTTTTATATATATTAAATATATTTACAAGAAAAATTTTAAAAAATGATTTTTTTAAAACCAAAACAAATAAAAATATAAAATTTTATTAAAAGAAAAGTTTTAAATTTTAGAGGCTTCATAAAAATATATTTAGATTATATATATACATATTATATTATATAGATTATTTTTATATATATTCAATATATTTATAAAAAAAATATTAAAAAACGATTACTTTAAAACAAAAAAAAAAATAATTACTAATTTTATTAAAAGAAAAGTTTTAAATTTTAGAGGTTTTAAAAAAATATATTATGATTATACAAAAATAAATACAAAATAAAAATCATATTTTATAATTATAACAAAAAATTTTTTTCGATAATATTTCTAATATTAATAAAATAAAAATATATTATATAATTAAACAGAAATACATATAAAATTAAATTTATATATAATTTATTATTTTTTTTTTATTTTGTTTTATTTTTATTATTTATTATTATTTTCATTATTTTTTAAAAATTTTTTATTTATTATATATAATACACAACTTTTTTAATTATTTTTAAAAATTATAGTTTTTTTGTCTGTATCTTAAAGATAACTAAAGACTATAATCAAAATATTGGTGGAAATAAAATATAATATTTCAAAATAAATTAGAAAGTTGTGTATTACTTCAACAATTGATCAACAATAAAAATAATAAATAAATAAATTTTATACGCATAAATAAATTTAATACACATAAATAAATTATATTTTTTTTTTAAATCTTATTAAAAAAATTTGAAGTTTTTTTTAATTAACTTATTGGATTATTTTTTTTTATATGTTGTTATACTTTTTTATATAAACTTTAAAAAAATTTAACTGTTATCTTTATTTCGATTATAGTCTATTGATAGGTTATAGTCTTCTAGGACTGATTTTGTTTTTTCAAATTTTGTATATTTAAACTCACACGAATAATACAAAATAAGCCTAAAAATAAAACATATTACAGAAATTATTAATATAATTAGGTGTAAGATAAATAAAAAAAGTATCAGAAAATTATTAGATAACAATATTTGTTTAATTTTTAATTTTTTTGTTTTAAACTAATTAAAGTGTTCTGAGTTTTCTTTTATTTTGTTTATAGATTTTTTTGATATTTGCGACAATATAAAAATAACCCAAAATAAACATATTTATTTTATTAACATATTTAACACAATAAAAAACGAAAGAAAAGAAAATACTTAGATTAGAAAATTATTTAAATAAATTTATAAATTTATTCGTTCATTACAAACAAATTGTGAGTGCTCTTTTGTTTTGTCTATTGTTGTTTTTTTAAATTATTACTAACAACACAAATATTGATCAATTAGCCCATGTATAATTTTTTTAAAATTTTTTAACTAATTATCAGATTTTTTTTCTTAGTCAACGTGTTTTTGATTTTTTATTATCTGGAACAACTGAAAAGTTGACTATTTATCCCATAAACGAAATATTTAGGTAATAAAAAATTTATAAAATAATTACACAAGAAATTAGAAAATTTTTAGACTATCCCATTAAATTATATTTTATTTTTTATTTTAAATAATTGAAAAATTGTGAGTTTTTTTACATTTTTGTCGACAACAATTTTTTTAAAAATATTATTTAGGCAACACAAAAATTAACCAATTGAATAAAAAAATTTTATAAAAAGTGTGTTATAGAGTTACATAAAAAATTAACAACAAAAAATTTTATAAAAAGTGTGTTATAGAGTTACATAAAAAAGTATAAAAAATCTTATAAACAAAATTAATATTGTTTAAGGAACCGTCAAAAAAAGTTTGTTATATGATAAATAAAAATTATTTCCGTTTATTATTTTAATTTTTAATATTTCGACCTTTCGATTTTTTTTGTCATTTGTAAATTTTTTTTTTTTAATAAATTTTAGCATATTATATTACATATTATATGGTGAAATATTTATACCACACACATATACTGTGTTGTACGATAATTCATGGCAGCAAAAATTTAAACAAATATCGATCATTGAAAAACAATATTTAATTTTTGATTAAAAACTTCGTTTTGTTTATGTCAACATGTTATGTTCTTAGTGTTCAGATAAGATAAATATCGGCTTCTGTAGAAAATCCATCTTCTGTTTAGTTAAGCATATATATTTATATTCAATTCTAATATTTTATTATATATTGTTGTGTGTAAAATGCATGTAATGAGATTAGATTAGAAAGTGTTTTTAATCAAAAAATAAATATCAAACCAAAAATTTTTAATTTATTTACACATGATTACTCTTGTTTCATATGAAATCACACTAAAAAATATTGGTGGTGTATAATATTTTTTTTTTATTGAGGACAGAATAAAACCAGGGTACTCAGTCAGTTGGTCATTGTCATCATTGCATCAAAACTGGAAAATGCAAAAAATTTGTAGTAAAAAACAGAAACTGGGAATTATTAAAATATATGAATTTGTTACTCTTCCTTAAAATGTGTTGTTTCCTTCATGAATCCAAGAAGATCAGATGATCTAAAATGAAGTTTCAGCATTGTTTATGCTCAGGCTATTAAAAACCTATAATCCCAATTTAGATCTTAAAAAGTCTTGCTGAAAGAAATATAAAAGCAGACAAATTAAAAAATTAAAAACTTAAAGTTTTAAAAAAAGTTGCATATTTATTAAAAAAATTAAATAATAAAAAAATTAATTTTACACATTTTCAATAACCCAACATTTTTCTTCCAGTAAGCAATTATTTTCTTTTAAATATAAATTTAATTTTTAAAAATTCTGGAAATTTTATAAATTTATAATTATTTTTTTTATAAAAATTGTTTAATAAAATATTTGTCATAAATATTTATGTTATAAATAGAAGTTATTAACTCTGTTCCATAATTAAAAACAAAAAAAAAAAACAAAATAAATAAGACATTTAAAATATATGATTTAAAGTTAAGGAATTATTTTTTCATATGAAAGCAAAAACTGATGAACAATACAACAACATTTTATTTTCAATTAACTTTTTATTTGGGTCAACCATAAATCTATATTGGCTTTTTTTTAAACATACTTTAAAATACTACTAAGATAATAATACAATATAATAAAAACAAAATGCATAACATATAGAAAAAAATATACAAATATATAGAAAATAGAAACTAATAAACAAATTGAACATTTTTTTTTAAATATTCATACAAATTTTTATAATAAATTTACTATAAAGTAACATTTTTAAAGTAATAATTTAAATACTACTAAAATAATAATACAATATAATAAAAACAAAATGCATAACATATAGAAAAAAATATAGACGAGTATATAGAAAAGAGAAATTAATAAACAAATTAAAAAATTTTTGTATTATTATATTTTAATACTTTTATTTCATAACAAATAAATAATTTTTAATTAAATAAGATTTATAATTGGTATATTAAATCATATTTTTAGATTATTAATTTCATATTATAAATTTCTTATTATTATTCTTATTGTTATAAAACATTTCTTATTATTATTCCAATTTCAATATTGACATTTCGTCATTGGTATGCAATTTTAAATTAAATTAAATATATAAAAATAAATTATTTTTTAAAACAACAGATGGCTTTTGTTTAGACAACGTAACATCAGAAAAATTCTTCAATGTTCAATAGATAAAAAAATAAATAATTTTTATTCAAAAGCAATAAATAATAATATTAAAAAAAATCTTAATAGACTTCACAAAAAACAACATAAATTAATTTAATAAATTTTGATTTATTATTTATACTAAAATTCAATAAAAAATATATTGTTTTTGCTAGAAGAAATTTATACATACGTACACAAAATATAGAAAACTCAGACGTTATAAATATAGATAACTTTTTTTTATTACTAACTATCATAATAATAATAATTTAATTTAATAATAACATAATAAATAATAAATATTATTATTTTTTTGCTATAATATATATAGTTAACACCAGTATCAATCAGTTTTTTAAATTTGAAAGGTTTTAACTAATGTTGTAAATTTAAAAACTAAAAAATAAATACTTCAAATAGTATCCACAACGAAATGAAATGTAAGTTCTATATGGTTTAGTATGTCAAAAAAATAAAAACTCTAATACGACTATACGAAATCATACAAAATTTTTAACTTTATTAATATTATGTTGAGGCTAGTTGAGTAAGTGCATCTGAGCACTTTTACTCTCTATTAACTGCGAGGTTTCTTCAAAACCCCTCTTTGCGCCTTGACTAGATTATTGTTTATCACTTCATCAGACTAAGCAATAATTGATTACAGATCTGCATACCTCCCCGAGGAGCCAGTAACCATTCTGTGATTTGATAACGCTAATTGTATAAACTTTATTATTTTAAAAAATATTTCAAATAAAACTAAAATTCAAAAAAATTATACAAGCATTATTATTTTATAAAACATTTCCATTAAAATTTCAATTAAAAAAATTTTCTAGTAGACATTACGTTCACTATATGTTCTCATATATAATAAACTTAAGTTTACTAAATTTTACATCCTTTATATTAGAATTTAGTAGA